AGCGCCTAATCTAAATGGGTTTTGCTCAAAATGGAGGATGGTTCGAGAAACTTTAAGATTTTAAGGCATTGCAAAAGATGGAGAATCTTACGGAAGTGGCATGACAAGCGACAAAACCTAAACATAGAACAGTGCAAGGAGATGGAGACATTTATCTGAAATCCAGGTATGAGTAAGCTTCCACATGCAGAGTTGGGACAAACCAAAATGTCACAACTTAAAAAGATGCTGAATCTGGCTAAATTTGGTCAGTGGGAATCTCAACGAAAGCTTTAGATGGACATTATCACTATGGGGTTGCACTTTTACAACTTACACTTGCAATGATCCGTTAGTTTATGAATATAACGAAGAGATTGACCAGATTTGATATGCAGAAAGAATATCCAAGTCTAGATCGGACACGTGAAGTGTTCATATCGATTAAAGAACTCACCAAGGTCCTCAATGACAGCTTCTCGTGAACAGGGTCCACATCCAGAAATGCTCCATAAGTGGTCTTATCATTGCTATTGTTAATGGAAGATCTGAAAAGAGAAATACAGAGCCAAAGAACAGACCGGAAAAATTAGAAACTTTTTGGGGATTGGTGGGTGGGATCTATGCCCTTGAGATAACGAAATAAATTAAAGAGAGGGAGGTTAGACCTGCTCTGGTCACTACACATGAGGACGACATATTTGTTCTGGCCTTTGAAAATTCTGAAGAAAACTGCTGTGTATTCTTGCAATCCTTTTGAAGCCATGACCAGCAATCCAAATGGTCCAAGACTACCTTCAACTGAAGCACCCTTTTGGCTACACAGCAGTTGTGGGTTGGTCATTTCTGCCTTCTCGAGCTCTTTTACTTCAAATGAGACCTCCACATCTGCCTGCACAATGATAAAAGGAGATTGAAGGGACCATACCCATTTTAGCATTCTAGAACAGGGGTTTAGGTTCGCAGAAGAATCGGGTCTGCCTATAGTGCTGTGTCAAAATACATGGAATAATATTCCCGTGAAAGTAACTTTTCTTAATGTGGTAGTAATTTCTTCATGTGTGAAGTAATTTAGTGTTGCTAATATTTGTTGCGGAGTTAATAAGTGCGGATTTACTAGTGGTCACAGGACCACAGCACAAACCATCTGATATTCATATCAATGAAAATACTTTGAATATGGGTAAGTTGTTGTCTTGAAATAATTTTCAAGCCAAGAACACCGATGAAGATGAAGCCTATAGTGACCACCACCACAAGCCGAATGTTGGGTATTAATTTATTATTGCAAAATAAAAGGGAAAGAGTTTGGAGTTGTGGGTGGCTTGTAGCTCCAAGCCTCCAATGAAACCTATGAACATACCTGCTGGAAATGTGACCAGAAAATTAAGCTCACCTGTGCAGCTGTGACACCAGACACTTCAAGAACTGTTCCTCCCTCAATCAATTTGTTGGGCCAGTTAACTTGGTTGGTACGTAGCTTCTCTATTTTCAATATGGGCCACTGCACTAACTGTTTTCCAGATTTGTCTAGCTGAAGAGTCCTTGGAATTGCCTGCCACACAACCATTCCTGACATCAACACTTGCATTGGCCACTAAACATAATAGGCCCAAACTTGATCTAATTCAAGTGAACCGAACATTTGATATCTACCCATTCACTCATCTTTAACAACTATCGTATTAATAGGAATAAAAATATTTACCTGGAGTCCGGACCATCCTTTCTTGATGTCGTCATCCTCGCTGGACGACTCTTTGATCCAAGCCCACAAGATCCGCCGGTTGTTCTTGCTGTCGAAGAAGGTCTTGGAAGCATAAAACTTGCCGTAATCGTATCTCAACCCCGAGTTGCTATCTACTGATCCCTCAACGGGAACATACTTATCCGTGACGGAGTTATAAGTCCCAATAGTGTAGTAATCATGCAGAGCGTCGACGCTCAAGCTCACCTTGAGCACGTGCTTCACATTTGACCCATTAACGGAGGTGTCCAAGACAGCAGGGACTTGAGCGGAGAACGGGGAAAAAATCTGGGCACTCCCACATCCCGGTGTCATTAGCAGAGTAAAGTGGGTTTTCAGCCTTTGTCCAGTTAACGAAGTCTTTGCTTCTGTACAAAATGGCCATTCCCGTCCCGTTGCTTTCGCTCTCAATGATCACCCTCCACCTCCCATCGGCGCCCATCCATGCAGTGGTGGGGTCTCTGAATGAGCCTGGACTGATCATGTTCATGGCCGTGGGTGCCATCAGAGGATTGCGGGGTGATTTCACCCATTCAATCAGATACGGGTCTGATAAATTCTTCGGCACCGCCAAGTTCTGCACCTGCTGAAGCTGGGAGTTCCTTCCGGTGTAGAGGATGGCCGGTTTGTACCCCGGGAGGATGGTGGCCGAGCCCGACCAGCAGCCGTTGACGTCGTACTCCTGAGAAGGGACGATGGCAGGGACGTGTGGGGTCCAGCTCACGAGGTCCATCGATGTGGAATGGGCCCAGACCATGTTGCCCGGTACCGCGGCTTGCGGGTTGTATTGGTAAAACAGATGGTACATGCCCTTGTAAATCATTGGCCCTGCAGTGCAATGTGTCCATTCGTTTTCAACTCTAGCGGGTCATTTCCACATAATTTAAACGAAGTAGCTAGGTAAGTGATGTAAAGTGACCAGGCAAGCATATCATAGTTTATACAATCAAAATAAACACTATGAAGTCTCTGTGGTCCTAGTCCTACAAGACAAAATATTCGCCGCTTTAAGTTTAGCAGGTAATTTCCCAAGATTTAAAAACGAAGAATATGATAATTCACGAGGTAAAGAACAAATATGGTCTTCATGAGTGTGACAGAAAGTATACTGAAGCATTTTGAGAACTACAGAGAATTGACTGCTGCTGCATCTTCCCTAAATTTTCAACTCATACTAATGTAATTTGTAAGTATGAGTATCTGATGGTTTTGGTATGATAAGGTAATGAGTTAACATCGAGAAACAAGTTAAACAATAAGGGAGAAGAAATCAAGAAAATGAGCAGATCATGGGAGAGAGAGAAACTGACCATTTGGATCTGAGAATCCCATGAAACCGGATAGTCCATTTCACCACCAGACCAGGTCAAATTGACACGAAGAATGAACCAGCAAAACAAAAGAAAACTGTCAGCAAGATTCATGGCAGACACCAACACGTGTGTGTAGCATGTGTGAAAGAGAGAGAGAGAGAGAGAGAGAGAACCATTCATCCAGTTCTTGGGAGGTTGGAAATGATAAGATGTCCTGTAAGGCTGCATCACAGAGGTGGACTCAACGGTGGCCTGCAAATTCCTGTGGACTCTGGGAGAGGCTCCAACATGGAGGACACCATGGCCAAGCAAGGCAGGGATGGCAAGAACAGCAGAAGCAAGAAGGTGAAGAAGAGAGCTGGGTCTGGCCATGTTGTGTTGTATCTTGTGCAACCTTTCAAAACTTTAACATGCATCATAAGATTAACTACCGAAGTCGCATCAATATATAGACAAAAGTACAAGAAGCTGGAAATGGATTGAAAAAATAATGCGCAACGAATCATGAATTCGCTTTCAATGAAGCAGTGCAGAAAGTCAGTGAATTTAAGGAATTAGAACCTTTCAAATCTTCCCCGTGTTGAATTTTTCAAATCACGATTGGACAAATTGCCAAAGGTTGGAAAGGGTCATGGTTCCGGTCAATAAGAACCCAAATGATATATGGTTTCTAATCCTCAGCGAAGGTAGAGTTTGGTACATGCTCAATTTAATCATTGTACGTGATAATTTAAAAATCAGATTGAATTTAGGAATATAATAATTTGGAGACTGAATTGAATATTTACTAAAAGTTAATAGATCACATTAAATAAATTAAAAGTTCATGAATCATATTGCACATTGAGCTAAATTTTAGCAACTATATTAAAAAAATTAAAAATTTAGGATTACGTTACATATTGAGCCAATGATCGGGAATCATTTGTGTCACTATCTCAACTTAAATATAAGTTTGGTTAATAAGAACGATGACTATCAAGCATGTTAAATGACCAAAATTAAAGAACACTAGAGTACTTACTGCCGCTCGATTATAAAAATTATAATCTCGATAAATCAATATAAATCTCACTTAAATTTACCAATGACTTTTCTTGGTCGAGCGACCGAGTGAGTCAACAAATTGCTTTTTCAATTACTCGTCGTTCGAAAAGAAACGAAAATTGAAAGACGACAAGGACACGTAAACGTCAACGTTGACGTCGACCGTTAACCCTTTGCCACGTCCCGTCGTTGAAGCTCCATGGAAATGTCATCACATTGAAAAACAGCCCGACTTCCATATTAGAATTTTATTTAGATCAAGGCATGCATGCAGCTTTTGCCTTATAATAATTTTTGGTTAGGGGGTCATGACATAAATAATTCTTGAACTTCGGCTTAATATGCAATGTAACCCCTGAACTTTAACTTGATATTTAATGTGATCCGTTAACTTTTAATTCGTTCAATATGATCATTGAACTTTTTGGACATGTTCAATGTAGTCCCCAAACTATTTTAATTTGTTCAATACGCTCTAGGTGTAATTTATTAAATCGCACGACAATCGATTCTTTGAAGTTGTACGGACTATTTTGAACGAGCTATTTTAGTGGGGATATTTGAGGCAATGAGTTTCATTAATGTCCATGTCCTAAGCTTTTCTTTTTTTTTTCTTCTGTTGGTGTTCTTAATTTTATCGATTATTTAAGAATATCTAAGTTACTATCCAACTTATTTCATGAAATTTGCTTTTTAACAATTTGAAAAATTAGAATTCCATGCATATTCTCCAGAATTTTGAAAATGAAGCACCAGCAATTGTAATAAACGTATTTATTAGTATACTAATTTTTCCTTAATGAAATTCAAGAAAGGTATTTTGTGCCTAAGGATAAAAAGTTTATGCGCTTTTTTTGTGGCATTTGCCAGTTGGCAACTAACTCCCAATCCGTGGTGGTTCTGGCTGGTCTCCTTTCCTTCGTCTTTCTTCGACTCGCGCCCTTCTTCTCTTCTTTCTGTGGAATCCATTGAAGGCGAAACACGGGAGATTCCTCTCGATTTCCCGGAGCTCCGCCGCGCCGATGGCCGTCTTCTTGGGGACCGTCCGATGCGCTCCGAGCATGGCGCGGTTGGCTCCGTACGGCCGCCGATTCCGCATCGCCTCCAACCCTGGGGTCTCGCTTTGCAGGCGCGGCTCGTCTCCCTTCAGGCTCCTTCATTCTCGAGCTTCCCTCGGTGAGTTTTCTCCCCCGCTCCTCCGCCTCGCGCGCTATCTTCTTGTTGCTTCGCGTTCGAAGCTCGGCTCGTTTCTGGTCGCGATGTGGCGTCGTTTCGCCGCGTTCTCGAACCGCGCGCAGCTGAATTTGAGCTTGTGGCGATTCCTTGTATCGTGCTCGTGTTCCTCTGCGACTCATGGTTTGGACCATTAGTTGCTCGGCGCTTTGAGATGATCAAGCGTTCGGTTGATTGTTTCCCGCTGATTTTTGCGGCGATTCGGCGGTAGGGATGTGGTTTCGGATTACTTTCATGTGTTGAAAGTGGTTCGTTGAATTGCATTGCAGATTCTTCGGCTGAAGATGCGAGAGGGATCGGGCACCAGGGAGAGTCCGACTCGGAGCTTATATTTATGGGAACCGGGACCAGCGAGGGGATTCCGAGAGTGAGCTGCTTGACAAATCCTTCAGAGAAATGCCCGGTATGGATGCAGCACCTCTTATGCTTGATTGAATGCTACTAGATGAGTGAATTGATTGCTTCAAAACATAGGAGCGAGCGTAGTTGTAGCGACTGAGGGCATGGTTTGCTCATTCATCTGCTGTAGGTATGCTTAAAAGCTGCTGAACCAGGGAGCAAGAATAGGAGACTAAACACGGGCATTCTCATTCGATATCCGGGACCAACTGGAAAATGTAATATTCTCATAGATGCTGGAAAGTAAGTGATGGATACATCCAGAGTTGTTGTTGTTGTTTTTTTTTTTTTTTTTTTTTGCATGGTCTCCATGAGCTAGAAAATCTGCGTCAGTTTTTTTTGTTGCAATAACAGATACTCACCCGGCTCTTTTCGTTCAGGTTTTTCTACCATAGTGCTCTTCGATGGTTCCCTGCATACGGGTTAGCTCTCTCTCCAAACAAAAGTTTTCATTAATTATTCCAGCTGAAGCAGGACTCAGTAGTTCTTCGCAGTTCTTCCTAGAATCTTGGATTATCGATGGTTTCGGTAAAATTGCAAGCTAATGTAGACAAGCTCCAAAAATTGAAGATTCATAACTTAGGAAAATGTCGTCTCACAGCATTATATGATGAACTATCGTTTATCATAACAATGAAAATGAAAATTATTTTCTTAAAGGCCATAATACGTATAATGCTTCCATAACTTATAGATTGATTCCTGTCTTTTTGCCTTCTTGGATTTAGACTATTTGTACAATGGTGAGGAGTGAGAGGGGTTATATGTCGCTGTCAACTAGCTATAGGACTGTGCAATTTTTCTAAGCCTCCTACAGATGTCTAAGAATTAAGTTTGTTAAAATGCAGTTTTGAAAAAGACTTTCTAAATTTCTTCATATTGTCTGCAATTTGCTGATAAAGTGACTAGTTGTGTTTATGTCAGGATAAGAACAATTGATGCGGTTGTACTTACTCATTCTCATGCTGATGCCATTGGAGGTCTCTGAACAATTCCTAGTGTCTTTTTCTCCTACATGTATGATTGATGACCTCATTGGACTATATGAAGCTTTTTCACCTTTGAGTTCTCTTTTCTCTTTTTCTTTCCTTCAAAGTAATGTCCAAAACTACTTAGACTATATTGGGTGTATTTTCTTCTTCAGGTCTTGATGATCTTCGAGATTGGACTAATAGCGTCCAGCCACATATTCCAATTTATGTAGCCAATCGTGATTTTGAGGTGAGTTGCAGTGCTCTCTCATGTCAAAGTAGTCGTTTCCCCTTTTGTTCCAGATATGAAAGTAGAAATAGGAAAAATCGGAATTGGATATCACCTATATTCTTTGCACAATTTTAATGGCAGCTGGGCCAGGATGCAATTCATTTTTTCTAAGTTCTAAATGGGTCTGATGTATCGCTGCAGCGCTCTTAGCCTCCAAAATAAAGATCTTGTCTTTTCCTTAAAGTGGTTAATAAGATAAAATTTGTGGAGGGGATTGCGGAGTAGGAAGCTGATGATTGTGCTTTGTTGGATTGAATGGTGGACGAATTGTTTGATTGAGCTGCGTTAAATTATTATATCATCTGGTTGGTAAATCACAGTGAAGATTATGTTAATTCATCCCAGAGCATGCTGATTCTTTGTACTGCTTTTTATGTTTCCAATTGTGTGATCATTGTTGTTGGCATATCCTGCTACACAATAAGATTCTCCTCAGATCTTGACATCGCTTTGCAAATTTCTTGATTAGGCCACTTAGATCGGGCCATCCTTTTCTTTTTGTGTTAGTTTTCGTAATACTAAGTGGATATATTGTTTTGTGGTTGTGAAAATGGCCTTAGGTGATGAAGAAAACTCATTACTATTTAGTGGATACCAGTAGTATCGTACCTGGTGCCGCTGTCTCAGAGTTGCAGTTTAACATAATACAGGAGGAGCCATTTGTGGTGAATGATCTGCAGGTAGAATATTGTATGCTACCGCATTGTACTTTCCTATCAAGTACAATAAACCCAGTAAATGTGGTTGCTCGCTAACTGGATGTGACCTTGTGAATTTCCATAATGCTTTGGCAGAGTGGTTAAAGTCTTTTTCCTATGCTATTGCAATTTTTGTTCATACATGTGAATAAACACTTCGTTTTTTGAACTTTTATTCTGAATCTAGTTGACTTCAGCAGTTATGGATTTTAGCATTGATTTGCAAAATGAAATTGTTGACAGGTGATTCCTTGTTATGCTAACCTAGTTAATTTGACATAGTTTTCTTTGTTCGTTCAGAAAGAAGAGCTTAGTTAATTCAACAAAGAAGAAAATTCACTGTAATTGTTTGCTTTTTTGTATCTATTTGCTTTTCATGGTTGTAAAGTCATTAGGTGCACATGTTATAGTACCGCGAGTGTCTAATAACCATGAGCTTACTAGCATAATTTCCCAAGGGCCAGAAAGTATGCCGAGAATATGGCAGGAGAATAAACTGGTTTAACTGGATTTGTGAAAGGGATATCTACTTACATAAGAGTAATCTCCAAAATTGTCTATTATCATAGATAAGCATTGGAGTGGTTAGTAGTCTGACTGAGGGATGAGGAAAAATACTTCTTTTCTCACAACTTTATAATAAAGGCTGAGTCATCAGATTTGACTTTCATTGAAGGTTTCTGGACGCCTATATAGAACAGATGAGAAGTTACAGTGTGTGGCTTTTTTCTTTTAATGATTCCATGGAAAGTGCTGCGGCTGCCTTTTCCCATTTCTTGCAGATGCTACCATCCATGTGTTGTCTCTTATTTAAATATTATGTATGAGGAAAACCAAAGCATGCAGCAACATGGTTTTTGACTACATATTACCCTTCTTTCTTTCTTGCATGTGACTATCCATCGGTTGTCTCTCATTTAAATATCTGTAACGAGGAAAACCAAAGCATGCAGAAACATGGTTTTTTACCACATGCTACTGTTCTTTCTAGATAGAGATGCCGCCGCTTATATACAATTGTTAAAAAATTATCTCATTATGCTGTCTTTCTCTGTGGATGTTGTGCTTCAGATAACTCCTTTGCCAGTGTGGCATGGACAAGGTTATCGTTCTCTTGGTTTTCGGTTTGGTAAAGTCTGCTACATCAGGTAACAAAGCCTAGTATTTTCCAGATCCATTTCTAAGAACGTATGCTTCGGTGGACCTGACGTGTATATCTGTATGCAGTGATGTTAGTGAAATACCAGAAGAAACTTATCCTCTTCTCAGGGACTGTGATATCTTGATAATGGTGTGTCTTTCCTTCCCGCTGCAATGAACATGTTTCTGGATACAGACATTAATTGTTCGTTAGCAGGTGATGTCTAACGTTCTAGTGTGTGAATATGAAATTGATGGTCTTATCGGTTGTTCAGGATGCATTAAGGCCAGATCGCTCTTCTTCAACACATTTTGGCCTCCCTAGGGTAAAACCTTCAGTAGCTCAACTTTGTTAGAAAGGAAGCCAATCAACTCTTTGTTCACTTTCCCATTGTATGTCTCTCAATCAGGCTTTGGAAGAGGTCCGGAAAATCCAACCAAAGCGGACGCTTTTCACTGGTAGGTTAAAGCCCTACTTTTAATAAGTAACATTGTAGGAGGAAGGATCATCTGATGAAGTTTTCTGCCCTGATTAAGGTTGCAGAAGTTTGGTTTCAGATTTCAGGCCCAAGGATTTCATATATTTCATGTTTATAGTTTTGGCATATATCATCTTTTAAATTCTTCTTTGTTCTTTTGTTATGATATCTTGATTTGGAGTCACCTTCTCAAAACTCTGTTTACCATGTTTTTCCTGGTTTGGAAAATGGCGAAAGGTATGATGCATCTGATGGATCATGAAGTAGTGAATGAAGATCTTAAAAAGCTCTTGGAGACGGAGGGCATTGACGTACAGCTGAGCTATGATGGACTCCGCATACCTATAACGCTCTAGCCTTTGAGTTCGACGCGAGTCTCGTTCTTCGATCAGATGAAACATTTATGAATAAACACCTCAGTGACGACTATCAAGGTCGTTTAGAAATTCTTTTACCGGACGAACTGAATATCAAGGCAATCAGCTGCGACTCCATCTCTATCTCTAATGTTTGTGTCGATGCAGTTCATGAACAATAAATTCTGAAATTTTTTGGCTGTTTCCTAGCGAGGGGCCGGCTCTTTCAAGACCCAGAAACCATATAATAACCCGTGAAAGAATGGGGAAACGAATGCATTGTGGAGGATGGATCATGTTGGCTATGGAAGCTCTGGCTCAGGTAGGCCAGAAGCAGAAGACGAAGTCCTTTAGCTTTTGTCTCATGTGGCTGCTTGCCTTGGACATGTAATAGAAAATTCTGTGAGTTTCGGTTCGAAGTGCATCATTTATCGTGATTGATCACGGCAACATTTAGTGGATTTCGATTGAATTGTATTTGATTATTAATAAATGCAAAGTACGGTAATTACAAATCAAGTGATTGTAGTTTTAAAGAGTGGAATTGTGCCCTTGCGAGACTATCGTGGAAGGAGTGGATTAGTTGCAGAGAAAGACATTTCCTACAAAATGTAATTAGCGTTAGGGGTACGAACGGTGTTAGTGCGATAGCGTAAGGCATCTCCATTAGTATCAAAACTTTTTAAATAAACATAACATTTAAAGATTGATCATTTAAATGTCTCCTGCGATGATAAATCTGATGTGGCTCACCCAAGTCACTTAGGGTGCGCATGAATACCATTCTGTGCCCCGGCGCTATTTCTGAACAGAAATGATTTTTTTTGATTCTGTGCCCGGAAACAATTTCTGGGTATTTGAAGGCGTTTGATAAACATGTCCAAAATTTCTATTCCTAGAGTAGAAAAGAATAGAAATGCGTTTGGTAGAACTACACAAAATTTCTGTTCCCAAATAATATTTTAATAATATTTTGAATTGTTTAAAATTTTTTTTTTTTTCTACTTTCTTCTTTGGCCATGGCCGGTCGCCGGCGACCGGCCACAGCCCAGGGCCGGCGAGGGCGTCACGGATCTCGCCGGCCGCCGGCGGAGGCGAGGGTCGCCCTCGCCGGCGAGGGTCGCCCTCGCCGCGAGGGCGAGGGCCGGACCCTCGCCGCCCGGGCGAGGCGGCCTCGCCCGAGAGACGCGAGGCTCGGCCTCGCCCGATCCGGGCGAGGCCGAGCCTCGCCCGAGACGGCGAGGCTCGGCCTTGCCCGGATCTGGCGAGGCCGAGCCTCGCCGTCGCGACCCACGGCGAGGTCGGCCGCCGTGGGTGGCGACGCGAGGCTCGGCCTCGCTCGATCTCGGGCGAGGCCGCCGCCCAGTGGCGAGGGTCCGCCTCGCCTCGCCGGCGAGGGCGACCCTCGCCTCGCCGGCGGCCGGCGAGGGCCGTGACGCCCTCGCGCCCTGGGGCTGGCCGGCCGGCGGCCGCGGCGGCCACCTAAGGAAGAACAAAATAAGAAAAGAAAAAAAGAAAAAACGATTCTCAAAATTGTCTGAGAAACAAGAAGCAACTTTTTTTTACTTCTTGTTTCTCTTTCAAAACTGTTTATCGGCACAAATTTTTGCAAAAATGTGCCGAGGAACAAAAAATTTACCAAACGCATTTCTGTTCCCAAACTATTTCTGGGAACAAAAGAACAGAAATTTTTACTATTTGGCACGTTACCAAACGGGCCCTTAATGGAAGTGCTCCGGCGATCATTTCAGTGTGGGAAAATTTATATACGTAATCAATTTAGTGTCCGAACTTAATGCCGCGTTAGATTTTTCCAGAGAACACCCAAGTCGGTTAAATCATCGTCTTGCACATTTAAGTGATCGATCGTATGTAAAATTCTCGCGTCAAAGTGGGTGCTGCACAAAATTTACAAGAGTGATGCAGGTCCACTTCCGTGTAAGAGCTTGGTACGTCATGATGATGATTTCTCCCGCTCGCTTATCATCATCGTTTTCATTTTTATTGAGCAAAGATCAAACGAGGGAGAGAGAGAGAGAGATATCTTCGTCTCTATCAAGCCCCCAGTTTCGACACTCGTTCGAGCGCAGCGACTGCGAGAGAGAGAGAGAGAGGGAGAGAGAGAGGGGAGGGGAGCGATGGAGCACTCGTTCTCGGGAGGGAGCTGGAGCGTGATCCCGAGCATGACGACCCACAGCAACGTCTCCACCCCCTCCAGCCACGACCATCTGTACCTCCAGCAGCAGCCCCCCGACCTTCTTCCCCAGCAGCAGCAGCAACCCTTCCACCAGTTTCAGCCTCAGCCCCCGCAATTCCAGCAGCACCCGCAGTTTCCGCAGCAGCAGCAGCAGCAGCGTCTAGTTCATCAGCAGCAGCAGCAGCAGCAACACCAGTCTCTCGCTTCTCACTTCCACCTCTTGCACGTACGAATTCGCAATTCGCAATTTGCATGAAGATCCCAAATGAAAAAAAACCCTAACTTGCAGCTCACGATGCTGGTAATTGCGATTTGTTTGCAGTTAGTGGAGAGTTTGGCGGATGTCGTTGAGAACGGGACTCGCGACCAGCACTCCGATTCCTTGGTTCGTCTCAGTCTGTTTTGCTTCGTTTTTGGGATTTGGTTGCGGCTCTTTCGCCTGCCCAATTCGGGGTTTTTACATTATCGGCTTGTTTATTTGCCTTTTTTCGCCACTTTCTTGAAGGTGACTGAGCTGAACAATCAGTTTGAGAAGTGCCAGCAGCTGTTGAACTCCATAGCTGGGTCGATTAGCTCCAAAGCCGTGGTAACTATGAATCCATGATTTCTTGAGTTGCCATTTGCATGTTCCTATGGTAATTTGTGATACTTAGAGACTTAGAGATGGGTTTCTAGTTTCGGGCTAGAGCATGTTCTTATCTTTTTGCTTTCTTTAGTCGTTAACTCGGAATCCATTTGAGCTGGAGTTTCTTGACAGCTGCATATCTCGCTTGTATTCCTCCAACTCTGTCTGGTAGGCACGCTTGCTGTGCCCAATTGACTAGGCTCTTCCTGATCCTGACCACAGAGCTCTAAACCTGCTCTTTCGGCCCCATTGAAGTCCAATCCTTTATGTTGTATCCCGAAATGTATAAAATTTTTCTCCTTTTTGTACTAGGCGATCATCTCCTAGTTCACTTGTTGATCTTGGGCTTAGATTCATGTTCTAAGCCTATTGTTCTCAGTTTCTGGACCTACATTCATTGGACAACGAGTCTCCTCCACTCTACCTATTTGTCGTGAATGACAGCTCTGAGTTGGAGGATGCAAGCCCTAACGCAAGGTTTGGGTTTGGTTTGCAGGAATAGCTCCTCTATTAGATTGTAGATTAATGTTGGTTCAGTATGGAGGAAGGAAATGGAGACAAATGAGAGAGGGGGGGTGGGTGGGGGTGGGGCTGTTGTTTTCTCTTCTATTCCCTTCCCTAATGTTTTGTTGGGAGAGAAGGGAGGGGGAGAAAATGAGAAATGGTTGTGAAAATCTGAAGATTTTGCAAAAAGTGATTGGAGCGGAAATGTGAATATCTTCTTCGCCGACCTTGACAGTATTCTTTCCCTTCCATCTTCAAAGCATAAGAGACGTTGCTTTTTTCCTTTATTCTTTTTTACTTTTTAATGTGAATATTCAAATATCAGTGCATAGTAACTTTCGGAAGCTGGAAATGTTTATAACAAATTTGATGTGTTAACTTTGGACATCCAACTGTTGCCATTTCATATTACTTCCTTGAAGCATGTATTTATGTACTATTAGAATTGGCTGTTTTTTGCTTCTATAGGTTTACTTCAAAAAGTATCACTGTTTCATATTGGAAGAGGAAAGATATGGTAGGGAATAACCTTTATTTGGTTCTTGAGAAACTGAAGACCGCATCAAACAATTTCGATGTGCATCAGCATGTATTTTTCTTACTTGTTACATAAAGAACAGTTTTGTCATGTCATTCTATATTTTGTTTACAGACAGTAGAGGGGCAGAAGCGTAAGGTGGAGGAAGCTGAGCAAATGCTAAACCAAAGAAGGTTCGTAGTGCTAGTCACAAACTTTTCTGTTCAATCACCGTGGTAATATTGCTTAATTCCTTAAGTTGTCTTGATGCCAGGGATCTGATTTCCAGTTACAGAAATTCGGTTGAGGAACTGATAAAGTCTGAGCCATAGATGCTCGTCTCCATGCCTAGATTCACAAAGAAGAATGTTAAAGTTTTAGTTAGAAGGGAAATTTGGAAGTGGTATAGAATTTGGGTATGTTATGTTGGTCGAAAGCAACATTGTGCCGCATGATCATATTTTAGTAGTGTGAGGCAATCTTCTTGTGAAGATTTCGATTGGAATTTGTTGATTTATCATCGATTATGGTGTCAAGATAATCTCGCTGCTAGGTTCTACTTACTCAAGACTTTCTTGTTTATGGCATGGGGGCTTGTTTCATATGATATGCAAAGTCCACGTCTTGATTTGCTTGATTTGGGCTATAATAAGGTCTTTAATTAGGATCCCCCTAGTCCCAGGACTTACCAGACCATAATTTTCAAATAGGAATGAACTGAGGTTCATACCAGAAGAACGATAAAGACGAGTGTTGTTGCTTTTCTGGGGTGCTGAGCAACCCTACTTTTTCATTTTTACCATGTGGTTGAAAAGTCATCTACATGACTCAGCGTACGCGAGCAGGAGAGCTTCGTCGAGGCTGAGGCCTTAGTTACAATCAAAAGCGCAAAAGTTGATGTTCTTCGACTTGCATTTCCTGTGACATCTTTTGCATTCATTCAGACCTTTGTCCAATTCGCCTAGTCCATCATTCTCTTGGTTGGTGTGATTCTGAGTACAGTGATTTGGAATTTATTTGCACTTTGAAAGTTTTATTTTGGAATATGTTCACTGGAAGTCTTAAAATTTATCACAAAAGTGCAATTGAGTCTTAAAACTTACAAAATGTACAATCGAGTCTTAAAACTTGTCAAATTGATTTAATCGAATCCTAAAGTTAATATCGTCTAATTTACTAATGGAAAATGCTGACATGGCGCTGACGTATCATATTTTAATACTTTTCTTGGAACACGTGGTAATGATGTGGCGTTTAACAAGCGTCATGTTAGTAAAAATAAAAATAAAAATTAAATTAGGAAAAAGCTATAAAATTTATATAAAAAAAAAAAGAGAGAGAATAGAAGAAGATCCCAACCAGCGGCTGTGGCGGTGGCTACGCCCTCGCCGGTAGCAATCGCCACAGCCTCCAGGAAGGGCCGGTGGAGGTCACTTGGGCCTTCCCGAAGCCTGGCGACCCTTGCTGGCCCTGAGCGAGGCCCCACCAGTCCCTGGCGACGGCATGTAACCCCTGATTTGGGAGAGGGTGCGACCCTCGCCCCAGATCTGAGCAAGGGTTGGGCCCGCGAGGAACGGCGAGGCCTTGCCCAGAGTCACCCACCCCAGGCGAGGGCCGACAACCCTCGCTCAGATCTGGGGCGAGGGTCGCGCCCTCCCCCAAATCGGGGGCTGTAGGCCCTCGTCGAGGACTCGCTCGGGGCCGGCGAGAGTTGCCGAGCTTCAGGAAGGCCCAGGCAACCTCTGTTGGTCCTTCCCAGTGATTGTGACGGCGGCCACCGGCGAGGGCTTGGCCACCGCCATAGCCACTGGTTTTGGTTTTTTTTTTATGGCTTTTTCTAATTAAATTTACATTTTTTTTTCAACTTTTCTGACGTGGCATTTGTTGGACGCCACATGCCTAAAGAAAATTAATAAAATAAGACACGTCAGCATTTTCCGTTGGTAAATTAGACAGTGTTAACTTTAGGATTCGATTGAATCAATTTGACAAGTTTTAGAACTCAATTGCATCTTCTATAAATTTTACGACTCAATTGTACTTTTGTAATAAATTTTAGGACTTCCCAGTGAACATATCTCTTTTATTTTTTCTCTTTTTTAGCACCACAATGGACTTCGCGTTGATAGTTTACTCGATGCCATCCCCTGCCATATGCGGGCAATTATCTTCCAGCCCAAGAAAAGGGTACGGTTTCTTGCGGTCTTGGATGAAGGTGTTTACTTCTAAAAGCACAAAGAATGGACAAACAAAATTTGGGTAAACAGAGAATAGTTATTTCATAATTTCATCAATGCTAGTCAAGTCTACATCACCATAAGGTTGTCTCTAACAGCTATTTTCTCCCAAGTCAAATTCATCATATTATTTCTCATTAGCTCTTCTCCATCCAAATAATTGGGAATGTCCTTAAGATGTCGTGAGGGTATTCCCGCCAAGGAGATTTTTCTCCGGTTACACTCAAGAGGCTCAAAATACAAACCTTTTCTTTCAAACGTGAATATGAGCAAATCAATAGCCCATATCATCCATATCCGGCATACGACTAGGAGGCTTCTTCTCATTTGCACGCTCAACGACAGCCACCTCAGTTGTCGCCAGCAACAATGAGACACTGCAGTTTGTAGGAAATTTTCAGCATAAATAATGGAAAAAACCGAGTTAACTCACAAAAACTGATATTCACCTTGCAGCATCTACTAGCGCAGTTCTAACAACTTTGAGAGGATCTATAATGCCTGCCTTCACCATGTCAACGTAATCTCCTATTTCAGTGCACAATCATTGTCAGAACTTGAATGACAGAAAATTCCTACTATAAAGCTTAGAAACAACATCGCTCGTGCTATAATAAGATAGCTCATTAAGTCTTAAAATACAGTATGGAAAAAATGAAGATGATAAGAACAAATAGTTCATGCCGAGTACAGAAAGCTAGCAATGACAGCTTAGTGGCAGTTGAGATTGATAAAGGCAACTTCGTAATTCTTCCTTGGAAAAAAGGTATCGAGGACTGTGCTTTATCAGTAACTTGGGTGAAAAGGAACAAACCTTTTGCAGCATCAAATCCCATATTGAAATTATCTTGCTCTAATAATTTGCCAACAATCAGAACTCCATCAAAGCCAGCATTTGAGAATATTGCGAGTGAAGGTGCCTGGAGAAACCATTGGATTAGAATATTGAAAAACCTCAAAAGTATACTAGGTGATGACAGTGAAAAACAAACCTTAAGAGCATTTTGAATGATTTGGACACCCCTTCTTTCGTCCTCATTTTGAGTTTGAACGTTCTCCAAGACCTTTGTGGCATATAAAAGAGCAACACCACCACCTGACACCAATAGACAAATAAGACTATAGTACTTCAAAAGCATTGAAGCAACTTATGCATAAGAGAAAGAATTACCTGGCACGGTACCCTCTTCAACAGCTGCCCTTGTAGCATTTAAGGAATCAGTGACCCTGTCTTTCCTTTCACCGACTTCTACCTCACTAGCCCCACCAACCTATAAGTATTAATACCAATTTGTCAGGATGTTTCAAGCATGATATCACAAAAGAATCAGGATAGCTAATAGACAAACCTTAAAAACAGCTACACCACCAGACAGCTTTGAAAGACGCTCCTGTGCTTTCTCTTTGTCAAAGGTGGACGTACTCTTCTCCATGGCTGTTCTCAGCTGCTCAGAAAATTGCATGTCAATTATTCTCTCGCCTTTGGCCCCAAACAGGGGAAAAAACTACTCTCTCTCCGAGAAGCATTAGTTACTAATACAATTCTTACAAAAGCCAAGGTATTCGTTAATATGCTTCTTCCAAAAGGCAAGACATGCGAAAGTTACTGGAAAAAAAAAAGTTTGTGATGCTGTTTTGTTGAATCTTTCTGACTGGTCTCTTGATTTATTACTTTAGTAATGTTTCAGTGCAGTTGCTAATCCTGGGTTTGTATTGTAAATTTTCAGTTTATGCTAATAAATAACTACTATACCCCAAAGAAAAAAGAAATGTGAAAAACGTGAGTCAACAGCAGGTGCAACCCTCGGCTATGAGTTAAAAACAAGATAAGTGATATACACAGTGGACCAATAACAGAGAAGGAAAAGATCTTCCAACCTTGAACTTTGCTATGTAAATAATATCTTTTTCATGTCCATTAGAATGATTACTAGATGGAATATAGCAAGTAAATCTGATGAGGAAGCTGCAAAATTTCTTCTTGCCACTTTCTTTCACTTATTGTTCTATTACATTTGGACTCAAGTATTCTCTTACCCCTCAAGAATGTTGAGCTTAGGTTTGACATGTCTATTGTCTACAGGGATCTTCATCTTCGATAAAACCAACGTGTCAAAACTGATTTCTGGTATTGGGATGGTATGGCCTTTTCCTTGTGGACTTAATATAAGCGATTAACATTTATATCTTCACCCAACATATATTTTCTCTCTTTAAACAGAGACTTCTAGCTTTTAGCAGGACATAGTACTGATTTGCAATGTTATACGTGGCTCTCGAAATCCTTACCTATGATTGCACAAAATTCATATGAATAGAATTGGAAGCAAGAAATGTGCACTGTAGCTCCTTTTCAGTGAGGGGTGAATGAGAGAGTCAGCCAGCTAAATAGAGAGACATTAACTAGACATCTCCATCGTCATCAATGCCATATTAAAAGCAAACAAGTTATGATGTCAGAAATCAGATATAAAGCAAACTCAAAGTGCCATCTGCATTGCAGCAATTTATCATTGTAACAGAAAGAACATCTGTATTTGCTCTCATCCATTAAACAAAAACCGACAGAGGTACTCAAGAAAATAACTACTCTTTATACTCAACCAAGTCATAATCGTACCTCTTCACATCTTTCTTCAATTGCCTTCTTGTCGCCTTCTCCATGCAGAATAATAGTATCGTCGAGAGAGACAGTCGCCTGCAGTGATAAATTAGGATTTACCAAAGCCATATTCACATGAAGCATAACATTCCCTCAAACATACCTTTTTTGCACTACCCAGCATTTCAACTTTGATTTTATCAAGAGTAAGACCACGATCTTCGGATATAACCTGTAAATATTTGCTTTGTCATGCACAGCAAGCATGTACGAAAAAATTTTGGGCATCTCAATTTTTATCACCTCTCCTCCCGTAAAAACAGCAAGATCATCCAAGTTTGCTCTTCGGTTTTCCCCAAATCCGGGAGCTTTCACGGCACAGAGCTGAAGAGCATTCCCCACCAAAAAACTATCAAAATCGAATTGCCTCGACTATTAAGTCTGAGTACATGATGAAGATGATGTATTTAGGATGACAGTAATTTTAAGTATAGGCATGTCATGAATGCAGATGAGCTTGAAAAAGATTCGAGGTTAAAAAAATTACTTGGACAACTGAAGTTCTTTATTATGACTGGTAATTTTGTCTTCCAAATACTAAATAATCCCCTGATGATACATAAAAATTAAGTCCAATGGAAACTATTATGCTTTTACTTAACAAAAATGAGGGACAAACACCTTTTGTACTCTTCAGCAACTTCTAAGGAAATATTTTCTGATTTAGAGAAGGAATTTGGCTTACAAAATGACTTTGACAGCGTGAGTGCTCTACAATACCATATATAAGCTCATCCATATTACAGGAGAATATGTAAAAGTACTTCTTTTAAAACTATATCTTGCAGGGGAATATGGATAAAACTACAATTGTTGTCAACACATCATTCCGAAAACTGAATATATAAGTACTTGGAAGACTATATATTGTCATCATGCCAGCATCAATTCTCAAGCGTTAGTCATTGAAAAGAGCCCTATATATTGGATACCTTTATCCCAGCATGATGCTTGTTGATGACAAGTGTTGTCAGCGCCTCGCTCTCTAGATCCTCAGCTACTATAAGAAGAGGTCTGTTCACCTGTTCACAGAGAGAGAGATAAGGGGAGGGGGGAGAGCAAGGAGGGAAGAAAAAAGGGGATCATTATTTTATTGCAATTATTCACAGCAATCATCGTTGGAAAGAATTCTTAAGAAAAAAATCCACTACCTTCATAGCCAGCTCCAATATTCGCACAACCACATTCAAATCTGAAATTTTCTTGTCATGAATGAGGATGAGGGGATTTTCCAGTTCCTACAATTACACATCCCTCATGTCAACATCTCACCGGTTCAATATTGTACTCAATCGGTGCGGTGTGAAAAGGAACAAATGGCTCTAGTAGCTACCATCATCCCTCCATAATTTAAGCAGCAAGAAATTCATATCAAGTGAGAGAATTCTTTCTGTGGCAGGGACATTTGTCTACAGCTTCCACAATTATTCTTTTTATCAAAGATTCTTCAAAAGTTGAATGTATAGTAACAAGATCCACATGTATTATACATTTTTCAGTCTTAACATTTCATCAGGGCCAGAGAGTAATGCGTGAAAAGGAACACCCAAGCTTAAATTCTCAAAGCTAAGAAAGGGAGCTCTTGGCTTACGCATTTCTGGGTCTTTCGATCAGTGATAAAATAAGGAGACATGTAACCTCTGGCAAGCTTCATTCCCTCCACCACTTCCAATTCATTGTCGAACGTGGTTCCATCCTATGTGCAACACATTCATTATCTATGTGGTGAATCAAGGCGCACAATACAAAAGAAAATATGATCAGCTTACGGTGACAGTAATTATTCCTTCCTTTCCAACTTTCTCCATTGCGCGTGCTATCAGTTCTCCAATCTCCCGTTCACCATTAGCAGAGATAGTGGCCACCTGTCAATGATGTAACAGTATAAAAACGATTTGTTGGGAGATACAATAAGCTACTGCAGCAAATTAATAAACAGATAATAGAAATACTAGCAGATCCAGTGAGCATTTGTGACAATGCCAAAATGGGTTGAGACAATGCCAATGATTATTCATTCAGATTATTTGTGCTTCACATGCAATGACAAAAATCTATATCACTTACCAGAAAATTTGGGCCAATAATGCTTGTGTATGATTGTAATAACTGATCATGTAGGATAATGAATCACTTTATGTTTCATTTGTCAATCATTTTTGAGATCCAAAATTCATGATAACCGAATTCCACAAAACAAGTCGATCACTGATAAAGCACACCCTCGTCAGCATCATAATTTACAGGAAGGCCTTTACCTGCGTGATTTCTTCGGGAGTACTAATCATCAGGGCTCTGCTTTTCAAGTCAGCTATGACAGCATCAACTGCTTTATGGATCCCACCGCGCAAATCCATCACATTTGCACCAGCAGCTACTGACTTGCATCCTTCCATCACTATTGCCTGGGTCAGTACAGTTGCACAAGTTGTACCTGAAACCAGGTAGGTATCTCTCTTGAAATAGTCACCAAAAAGGAAAAGATTAAACTCTTTCATTCACAAGTTAGAGTAGCCAGGTCATGAGCAATAAATTAACATGCTGAGCATGATAAGATGACAACTAAAATGAATTATTCAAACTCTTTATGTAACTGTCCCATAAAAAAAAAAAAATTCAAGCTCTCTTTTAGACAAATACCAGTACAAAGATTTAGAGGGCAGAAACTCCAAAGGCATTAAAAAAATTATATAGAGCAAAGACTGCAAACTCAGCAGCTAAAAAATAACTGAAGCTCCCCAGGAAATTGAGGTTCTGATTGGTGCACTTAAGCACACAAAAGCTTTCCGCTCTTTTTTTGGCCAAACAGCTGCACCTTCGTCAGTAAACCACAACTAACTGTGCTGTCATCATTTTGGTGTCCCAGAACTTTTAGTGTAGCGCTATTCCAAAATAGTTCTCGCTCAAGTCAGCCTAAGAATCTTGCTGTGGCAATGTCTATCAAGCGCAGGTTTCTTGGCTCTGAGAAACTACCACAATCTCTGGCAAACACCTAACTAGTTCTAACTCAAGAAAACAAACTGAAACCAGGAACATAAATGTGGATTATGCTTATGATGCACATAAAACACAAACAAAACAAGGAATTTACCATCTCCAGCAGCTTTATTTGTTGCATTTGCCACCTGTTTTACGAGATCCGCACCTACATTCTTGGCCTTATCCTCAAACTTGATGCTTTTGGCAACAGTGACTCCGTCCTTTGTGATTTTGGGATTCCCTCTACTCTTTTCAATTATCACATTTCGGCCCTAAATTTTTATTCAATGCAATGGATTAACCAAATTACACTATAATGTTTACGTGTATTCTCATTCGATGTGACCTCAATATCATGACAAGCGGTAGTCACATTAAAGAAGCAGTAGTATATTTGAGCAGACAACTACAGTTCAGAGTTTTGAGTGAGATGCATAAGAATGATTGCGATGAATACAAAGAATAAAGCTTTTCGGTAAGTGCAAAATAATCGGCAACCATAGTGTGGTCGTTTTTACAATCATATTCAGCACTACTTGGAAGAGAGAGGACACCATGCATGCGATGAAGAGAAATGAAGATAGGTACCCATACAAGAGTAAAAATAAGGTACCTTAGGTCCCATTGTCACTTTTACAGCTTCTGCAACCTCGGTGACACCTTGCAGCATAGCTGCACGGGCTCCGATCCCAAAGTTGATATCCTTGGCGACATAGCATCTACTCCCGATGACCGCACGGCAAGCCTTTCATTGCCAAGACATCAGGCACCGAGAGTGATCAGTTCAAGTCAAGCCCAACTAAATAACGGCCAAAATGCAATCTTTTCTCGTCGAACACCTTTCGACCCCCCCCCCCCCCCCCTCCCCCGGGACAACAAAAGGCAAAACAAATCCACCTAGCCCACAGACATAATTGGAGCCCTAGCTCACTGACTTTCTATTCTCGGAATCTAATCTCCTGGATTCTTGTCGACCGAATCAATCTAGTCCTACATAAGCAATTAAGGAAAGAAAAGAACCAATGCAGCAGACGAGAGACAGAAATTTACCAGTTTCCTCGAAGATCCATGACTGGAAACGTCAGCATGTGAAAAGAAATAGCCCGATCAGTCAGTCATCCAACTCTACATACACGAGGAAAGGCCATACTTGTGTGATTTCCGTTGACGGTACCTGAGCGACGACGCCAGCAGCTGCGAAGCAATTCGGAACATTTCGCGTTCACCACGCCGCCGGGGAAGGCGAAAAACGGCACAGATTCCGGCGAAAACAACGCAGGATCAATGCCGATTCAATCGCGAATCGCAGCCTCGTAGGTCCCGAGAATCGAGTTGATCCCGAGCTCGCCCGAGTTCACGTTCGAATTCAGATGGACACGTCCGACTCCTCCTTTTCGCGAGGGGTTTTGGTAGGGTTCAACGAGCTGCAGCGGCAGCCGTTGATGTTCATTACTAGATCGACGCCCTTGACTTGATGGCTGAACGGTCTAGATTCTACTTACCCGTGGGTGGGCTGCGCAGCGGAACAAAGGACTGATTTCGGGCCATTTGATTATAGGCCCATTAGTAGCCATGGGCTCATGGGCCTTCTTGGGCTTGACACTGTCCAAAGCTTCCGCCACTTTCTAAGTTTCATGTCAACTCCCATTGATATCACAGTGTAAAAGACTAAAACTCAGAAGTTAGAAAGATTAAAGAAATAAATAGTGCAGTAAATATTGACTCGAATTTCATGGGTATCAGGTTTACATAACTAAACTCACTTTAATATGAGTTTTTTTTCTCGTAAAAAGAAAAGAAAATCATACATGCTCGCTTTAATACGAGCTTTAATATGAAGATCAAGTTAATCCCGTTTTAAAATAGAGTAAACCCGACAAGATATATCGTTTGAAAAAACATGGACTTTCACATAATTCTTCATTCATGAGAATGAGATATGCCCATCAGATCGGCTGTAAAATGAGCCCGTGCGGAATCTTTTTATATGACTTACAGGCCCCAAAAGCTATGTCTTCTCGTGTTGAATTCGTGTTTAAAATTTTGATCCTTGTTTTGGTAGCTTATCTTTCAGATTTCCATTGCTCGAGAAAATGCTCACCCTTATGGTAAAGTACTATCCGACCTTGCTCCATCACTATGGTCGATCGTGTGAGTCTCACATAGCCTCACAAATAGGTCTCACATAGTCAATCGTCATAATTCCAGTATAATTTCCCCCTTCGTAACGAGGCGTGCTCTAGTTTATCGTCTAGGGAAATGGAAGAAAAGATCACAGGCACTGGCCACATGGCCGGCACATGCAATCGTGAATCATTCCTCTAAGGTCAGGGAAATAATGTAACAATGATGACAAATGCTGTTGAGATTGAATTGTTAAATATAAATGAATTGTCAAACTAATCCGACTAGAGAAACTTCTTGATTAGGCACTTTCTGAAGATCTCATTGAGACAGCTCTTCAGCACATGGACCGGAGATAAACTCATCCCAAGTTGATACAGCTTCGTTTCTTTCTTACACTTGCATGTTTGAATCTTTTTCAGGCTTGAAGTTGAACTCCAAGAATCACTCCTCTTATGACAAAATCACTCAGAAAAGAAGAGAACTTCTGGATCATCGGACGAAGTTTTTGTTGAAAGCCTAACACAATCAGTTCCACCAACTTTCATCCCATTTACAAACACAATGTAATGAACAAAAGAAATAAGAAAGAGACAGTTCAATGGTAGAGGATCGAAATAATACAAGCAAACAATATACCCAGTATAAAAAATTTGAAACTATACCACCAACTCATAAAGATTCCATCAACTATACGTCCCCTTCCTCATGTCCTCACTAAAACGTCCATTTCCAAATCTTGACCCTCGCGTCGACCTTGCACTTCGCTCCTGCTGTCGACGCCGTCACCGTCGCCGTTGCGTTACCACTCGGGACGCTTACCTTAATCCCCAAGCACGTCACTCTGATCCTGACCTTCGGCGACTTCAAGCTCCCCATCTTCGCTTTGACCTTCGTCTCCAACTTCACCTCCAACGGCAATCCGTTCTTGCTCTTCATGTCCGACGTCAGCTGCGTGAGGGACCCTGCGTCGATTGCTCCACCACCGCCGTTGCTCGTGATTGAGGTCTCCAGCAACGTGGTGTTCTTGGTCCCATGCACGAAGGAAGGGAAGGAACCATCGCCGACGTCGACGCCATCGCTGGAGATCGATATGGTTATGGGGCCGTAGTAGTACACGAGCTTCTTGTTAGGGTTTTTGGCGGTGACGTTGAGGTCGAACTTGGAGCTGACGGTGGAGGAGGATTGGGAGACGTTGAGGTAGGAGAGCTTGAGGGCGGAGACAGAGAAGGAGGGGCGCTGGGGGCGGTAGAGGAGGAAGACAACGGCAGCAAGGATGGCGGCGAGGAAGAGCAGGGCGAGGATGAGGAGGGTGAGGAAGATGCAGAAGGAGCAGCAGCAGCCGCGGCGGTGCCGGTGCCGGGGCTGCGGGCGGTAGGCCGGGCGGTTGGCACCGTAGAGCTGGGCTTTCGTGGCGGGGAACGGCGGGTTCGTGGCGGCGGCACCGTTGGGGGTGGGCTTGGAAGGGTAGACTTTATCGGCCATTTTGAGAGAGAGAGACAGAGAGACAGAGAGAGATGTAGGATTGTAGGAAGATTTGTTTTAATTCAAAATAAATAGAAAAGCTAAGGAAGATAGAATAATAAAATCTTCTTCTTTTGGAGAGAGAGAGAGAGAGAGAGAGAGAGGAAAATGTGAATGATGCAATGACATTAAAGAAAAGGTGGAACGGCAAGTAATGGAAGATGGATAACCACAGCGTACCTAAAATGGAAGAAGTACCTAAATCACTATCTTTGTGAGCTTGGCCAAATCATTCTAAAACATTTGAGGATGTGTGTGTATCTGGTGCAAAACGACCATGAAAATAACCTAGCATGTTCCATCAAATTAATCATTGTTATCATTAGGATCAAAGGTACTTACCTCTACCGAGTAAATGTATTTCGTATGCAAGGTCCAAATAGTGACTTCTCTAGTACATGCGCAGTCCATTTTTAGTAGTTGCGTTCGCTTCATAAGCATGTGAAATATCATCTTCGCAAGACTACATAATTTATTGTGACATCGGCCCATAAACAAGTAGAACTCTTAATGGTGATCATATATACCGTTATTAAAGTAAAGAGGGTCTCCTACTTTTGAATTCGGATCTTTTCTGTCTTACAACAACTCTTGATAAAACAGCATTCAAATCTTGAAATACTTTTATCCTTACACATTTACTATATCTCCTTGAATGGTGTAGTTTTAACAGTGATTTCTTTTCATTATTTAATGATCCAATGTTTCATAATATAAAGCGATTTTGTTTGATCTTTCCAATTGAGAGAGAGAGAGAGAGAGAGAGAGAGAGAGAGAGAGAGAGAGAGAATGCATCCCTTTCTTAAGAAAATCCATCGATGTTACCCCTTCAACTACTGCATTTTAAACAATGTTGAAAGTGAAGGTTGACCTTCCATTAGGACTAACTAGGCAAAACTCAAATGTGGTGACATTTAACGCAACCCATTTTTTTTCTCACATGGAGCCCATAAAATATTGATATGCTTTTGTGAGAATTTGCAGAGAAAACCTTACACATTAATGAAAGGTTGCATCAATGGATTGCGCAGTTTGCAGAACTATAGGAAAGACTATGTAGGATGCAAGTGGCAAATCCCAGGTCTGATCATAGCTCTCACCCTCTCTCTAGTAGGGACAAGAGTTTGGGATAAGCTCTCAGACCTGGGATCATAGCTCTCACCCTCTCTCTAGTAGGGATAAGAGTTTGGGATAAGCTTTGAAACTTTTCTGGGAAATTGTGAAAACGAGATGACAAAATGCAAAGCAGGTCAAAAGCAATCACGATAAGCTATTTTTTCTTTAGCCTGATGTGAAAGTTGCTGCATCCGAGTATGTGAATGGATTGATTCAGGCTGTTGTATTGAGGAACATGCTTCAAGAAACTGGAAGAAAGTGAGATGTCATCGACTCAAGATTTGTTCTATGAATAAATAACGAGAGAAGCAGGTGTGGCATCACATCACAAACTCAACATGAATCAACCAAAAACAATTCACTAGTTGCAATGACAATCTCTCTCTCTCTCTTCCTCCCCACTCTTTTCCACGTTCTCAATCATTGATTCATTGGTAAGTGAAAGTCAACAGAAACAGCAAATTTGATTCCTCACCAGCCAGCTTGTTCGTTGTTAATTGTTATTGTCAGACTGGCTTATGATATAGCCTGGTGCGCTGAATTTATAACTTCGTAGGATGAGTTGGAGCATCTCAATCACTCCCATTTTTCTCGGGAAAAAAGTTAGTTCATATTTCCCTATTTGTTCATGGGGCGCATGAAACCAATTATGTTTCTCTATTTTTTTATTTTTCTATTTTCAGAAACAGGTTTGGAACAGAAATCCATTTGGTAACGCAATTTCATTTTTCTATTTTTGAAACAAATTTCTATTCCAAAAATAGGTTTGGAATAGAAATCAGAAGTAAAAAAAATTTACTTTTCTATTTATAGAACAGAAATTAAAAATAAAAACTCTTCTTATCGCTCGCTCTCGCTACTAGCCGACTACCCCCTTGCCACTAGCTAGTGCCGCCAGCCGCCTCCCGCCACCGCCGGCCGCCTCCCGCTATCGCCCACCTCCCGCCGTCGGCTGCCTACCACCGGCATCCTTCGCCAACTGCCTCCTCCCACTGCCATTCTCCGTCGTTTGCCACCGCCCAACGTCAGCTGCAACCCGCCCACCGCCGCCTCCCGCCGTCCTTCACCGCCACCTGCCGGCCGGCTCCCACCGCCGGCTACCGGCCGCCTTCCTCCACCCCAGCCGTCGTCCTCCCCTGCCGACCGCCGTGCTCCACCGGCCGCCTCCGACCGCCCTCCACCCCCAGCAGTCGCCGCCGCCGGCCGCCATGCTCCACCACCTGACTCCGGCTGTCGCCTGGCATCGATCGCCTCTCGCCGCCAGCCGCCGTCATCCACCGCTGCCGGCCGACCGCCTCCCACCGCCGGCCACCGTCCTCCACCCCCCGCCGTCCTCCTCCAGCCGTCCGGAAAGGAGAAATTTTGTATTGTTATCAAACGAATTTCTATTTTGGAAATATAAATTTTATGTCATTATCAAATACGCATTTTTGCTCAAAAACTCGTCCACGAAATAGAAATAGAAAAATTTATTTCTGGAACAGAAATTGATTTCTGGAACAGAAATATTACCATGAGCGCCCTCAGTTTCTCCAACCATTCTCTCTTTGGTTCAGCAGCACTTGTTCTGATGCGGGAGAAACTCTCGCTTATGTTTCTCGTGATTTATCAGATTAGTCAAACTGGGTTTAGACACAAACTACCAAGTTTCATCAAATAATGAAAAAGAAAAGACACAAAATACCAAGAACTTCACAGTAGACTCACAAACACTGCCTGGTCAATTGATTGATTTGTAGGAGTCATAGAGAACTCTTGCTTGTGAGAAAGATTTCGTTGTAGATCACAAAAGTCATATATATCTTACGCGAGCATTTCAACTCCAGTGTCAAGCTGATACAGAATCTGATCTACTTAACAGGATTCGCTAGGAATGAAATTCTTTACTGCTCGAATCAAGAGCTTGAGTCCCGGAAAGGTTCTGTGCTATTTCAGATGTAAATTTTCGGGTGATGCTTGCATGAATGGCATGAAAACAGACAAGGCCCAGTAATTATAAGTCAAGAGTGATTAATTAAATGGATTAATGAGCAACAATTTTTCATTTAGCATTCCTACCATCTTAGATCCAGTGAAGTTCTGTCAAATTCATCAACGAAATGAGCTAAAAGCATTCAAACATCTTTCATTCACCCCGGTCCTAGTGGACCGCAATGTGGATAAAAAAAACAGTAGATTATAGCTGTTCACATAAGACTAACACTAAAGGGAACTGTTCATCTCCCAAGCAATCAGATTCTTCTTCTCACTAATTACAATAACTAGTTACATTTTAAAAGTGACAACATACGCTATCTCAATAACTAGTTACATTTTAAAAGTTACATTTTGGCCCTCACGCCGCAGCTGCTCGTCCTAGTCTTTTTCTCAAGATTTTAGCTCCCATATACCTGCATATCACAAGATGGTTATATTAGTGCATTACATATTCGACCTTTTTTCTTTTTTTTGAATTTATATCCTTGAAGGGAAAAAATTGCAGAAGTACCTGCCCATCATCATGACAGTGGCTTGAGGATTAGTCCCTGGGGACTCGCTGAATGCTGAACCATCGACGACTCGGAGCTGATCAATGCCAAGGACCTTGTTCTCATGGTCCACCACCTTGCCTACGTGGCATCCTCCGTGGTAGTGCCAGATGGTGATCACTGTGTCCCTGCAGAACTGCTTGAGGGACTTGGTGTCATTGGTGTGTTTGGGAATGAGGTTGACATTAGCCTTGACGCTGATGTTGAGCAGCTTCTCTGTGGTTTGCTTGTCCACTCGAGTTAATTCCGTGAAGTACTTGGACTGCACGACCTTGGTGGCCAGGCGGATGCCCTCAATACAGCGCTCCAGGTCATAAGGGTGACTGAAATAGTTGAAGGTGATCAAAGGGTTGTCGTCGACATTGGTGTTGATTAGCCTTAGCTCGCCTTTGGACAAGGGGTTGGCGAGCTTTTCGAGGATGAAGCCTCCATGGAACACCTCATGAGGCAGGTTCCTTTTGTTTCGTGTATAGGCTTGAATGGCTTCTGGAGTTCTTTGTTTCGGGGGTATGGTGGACAACTGCCCGATCTGGTTACATCAAAAGATGGTCATCACGAAATTTACAGACTGCACACGGAGTGAATCAAGAAAACATAGCACTAAGTGGAATGGTTTTTAATTTGATGCAAAAGCTTCCTAGACCATGCTAGGGCTGCTTTAAGTTATATAGTAGTTAATATTCTGTAGGGAAATATCGATATCACCAGGGTCTTTGGTTTTCATTCTTTGCAATAAAGCTCACCTCTGCTGACATGATTCCGTGGTGGCAGCGAATACTATCAGTAGATTGCCCAAATCCACTGCTAGATTCAAGATAGAAACCTAACTCGGTGATCCCCGCAGTCTGAATGAGTGATTGATGGATCGGTCCATTTGTGGGTACAAAAATGGTGTTCATAGGGTTGTCCACTATGTCTTTCCCGACAAATTCCTGGTCCAGGACTGTGGATATGTTCAATTTTTCAAGGTCGGCTTTTGGTCCGATGCCGCTGAGCAGGAGCAGTTGAGGACTTCCAATAGCTCCACTAGATAATATTACTTCACTCTGCAGATTGCTCTTGAGAAACGCTTGATGGCCATTTCCGTTTTCATCTTTAAAGATGACTCCCACTGCCTTTGGTCGCTTCCCTGCGAAAGAAAAGGTTCACGTTCAGTTTCTAACAACTTTTACAAGTCGTTAAGATCATCAATACGCTTTATTTGTTCCCATTACGTGAGTAATCAGATGTAACTTCAAACTTTCAACAGCTTCAGTTAAGGACTATTGCGGCTATCGACTCTAAACGTTAAGAAGCCAAGTTCAAGAAGAGCCTTTTAGTGCCAAAAAGCTTGACAAGCACTGGCCCTGTGCAACATTCATGTCAATTGATAAGA